ATAAAACATCTAAAGATAAAGTTAAATACAGAATTAAGTAGAATATTGTTCATTATTTAAAAAAGCAAGGCTATATTATTTACTGATGCGTGATGCATATTTTAATTTATGTATGTAACTAATAAAAGGCTAGAAGTTGATCAACAAGATATAAAACAAAATTATCAAATTAATATAAGTGCCTACATTCAATTTTGGAAGGAATAATAAATGAAAAATATGATGAGCTGCTGAACTGTATTGTATTATGACACAAAACCATGGTAACAGCTTTCTTAAATTGATTTGTTTCCATTGTATTAAATTAAAAATCATGCATGTAACAAAATTTCAAACAAATGTAATGAGTAACTTTGTAATATAGTATTTTTCACTTCAGTTTTAATCAAGAGTTTGAAAATAGTTGTATTATTGTTGTTGATCAGCTTTGCCTCACAGATATTAAATACTAAAAATGTAATAAAAATTCCAACATTTTTATTTATTTATTATTGGTTAGATGTAAGATAAAATTCTATACAAAATAAAAATAGGTACTTAAACTGTTGTTTACCTGGAATATTCTCAGTAATAACGATGAAGTGAATAATAATTTTTTACGTAGATTTGATTACAACCGAAAACTTGGCACTAATAAAATAATTATCCAAAATCATATTTTTGAAAAAAAACATGATACCACAAAACCATGTTCAATAAAATTCTAAAAAAATATAATTTTGAAAAATAATTTATCACAATTTAATAACTCTAGATTAAACTCAAGTGAAAAATGTTAAATTAATTTCACTAATTTCCATTTTAAGTCGATAATATATTGAAATTATTATGTACCTATTACATAATATTACCTTGTTTTTTAAATGTAGTTATCATGAAGTTATCATTAGTCTCATGAAATTTCTATTAGCATAAACTTTACATTAATTAATATCATTTTTTTGTCATAAAAAGTAATATTACGAATTAAAAAAAAGAAACAGCTTTATAAACGCAACAGTCTATGTGAACTGCACACCTTTAGTCAATCTTAATAAATACATCAGTTTTAATATTTGCTACCATGGTTACGTGGCATATTTTTGAGTAAAAGTACATTAGAAGCAAATTAACTTTTAATAAACACATACCCAAAATAATAATAAATCACCTAATACTGTTTTAATATTTAGGTAGGTAGGCAAATAAATGTACAATAATACAACTTTACTCAATTTAAACCTCAAGTTAATAAGAAAAGTGTGAACTTTTAAGTATACATAAAAAAAATGTATAATTTATTATGGTGTTAATATACAGATTTTTTTAAGAAATAGGTTAAAAATTTTATTTACCTAAGAGAACATTCAGTTACTCAACAAATAACAAATAAAGCACGTAAGTGAGATTGATGGCTATCATTTATGTACTATCATACTTTAAATACATAAAAATATATTAATTGAAGTTTTGAATTTATTTAACTCAGACTTACAGTGTTTTATATTTGACTAAAGACTTGAGTTAAATATAAATGAATTAAATCTTTGAAAAAAACATAAGTAAACCAAAATATAATATTTTCAAAAATAAATTTTACCTAGTAACTAAATAATTAAATTTTACTTTCACAGGAAAATTGATTTTATTGGTAAAACTCAGAAAATTCAAGAATATGGCATACTCATAGAAATCGATTACAATATAATATTTTAAAATGTATAATGTCTTTAATTCAATATATAAAATATTGTACTTTACCTATTTGCTATTTGACTGTACACATATAGAGTGTATGTTTTGAATATGTTAAATTAACTAACATTTTAATTTAGATTACTGAATATATTAGTAGCTTATGCAAATGTTTAACTTATTATTCAATACTGTAAATGAGATAATACATAGCCAACATCCAATCACTTCACTTGCAACAATTATTTTTAAATTTAATCAATAAAAAATTAAGAGCATTATAATGTTATAAAATAGTATCAATAATATTGGAAACAATATTTTAATTTCGGTATCCATGGTAACATTATTGTATTATGCTTGAATGAAACAATTTATAGACCTAATATAATATATATCAACCGTATACATATTATATACCATATACATACCATGAAGTTATATTTAAGGTAAAATTTGATTTAAATTTAAAACTTAAATACTAATTTAAAATTTAAAAAAAGAGTATAATACCATCTAAGTTATAGTTGAAATATTAATTGAACGTTAAAAATTGTAAAGTACATAGGAGAGGATATTAAAAAAAAGCAAGTTGTATAAATTGTAGTGTATAAATTACTCTGAAGTCAACAAATTCAAATTAATTGTTATTCATTGTAAACAAAATAAAATATATTAGTAACAGGCAGAAGCAAATTATTTATGCCATGTTGGACTTTTTAAATGCTTTTTTTATTTTGTGGTATTTATTTAAGTCTCACGAAAACGATAAATATATTGTTAAAATTGTAACACTAGTGTTGTAATTTAAATATTCCTTTTCTTTACTAACAAGTAACCATCTATTATAAATTGATTCAACACTATCACAAACATATTATGTATACCTAATGTTTAAAAAAAATACAATAACCTACTTAGTAGCATAACAATAGGAGCAGCGAATTTAATTAATACGTCAGTATAGTGAAATAAAAACTTAAGCAAATCAATTATGAATACAAAGTGGAAAATTCATGAGAACTACACATTCTTTATATATCATGTATAATGTAGAGTATAACGCACAACGGTGTTCGAAAAAACGCATTTTACAATGTACACATTTTGTATCTTTGAATAACTTACATTGTACCAGACAAAAAAATATATAATGCATCGTAGCCGTTACAGTAACTCGTGTAAATCATCACAATAATAATAATAATAATATGGCAGACAATAACGTCCGTCGGGTCATGATGACATAAGTAAGCACGTAGTGGCGGGACAGATATCAAGCAGCAGCGCGAAGTCGCGCAGTTATACTCGGAAGAAACATTTACTTACGTGCTGTCTTGGTTAAAGTTGATAAAGTACAAGCGTTCGTTCAGATCAGAATTTGAGAGGTTCATTTAGCCTGAAACATACCGAAAGGTTTGTGATGTGATCGTGGGTGTCAAAGGCGAGGGAGGTGGGTGAATTCCGTGGGCGAGGGGTGTAGAGGGGGGTTGACATTAAAAGTGTAAACATGGGTTTTCATTAATTTTTTTTTCCGATTCGACCGGGCGGCGAACAGGAAGCCGCCGGAATGGGAATCGGGACCGTTCGTAAATTACTGCGCGTGACCTTGAGCGGTTAATGATAAATTCTGTCGTCCAGTAAACAACGGGCGCGCGACTATCGTTTTCCCCTAATAACTCACCAGCGATTCATGAATCTGTTGCCAAGATTATGCGAGTTGAAACCGCACGCGCACTGTGTCTATGTGCAGACGACCCGTCTCGTCGCGCAGCAAACGCACGGCGACGATGGTAAAAAAATTACAGTTCAAAAAACGCTAATGGCCAAAGAAACACTTTCGATCAGCGATCACGCAAAACGTGACCGAGTGCGAGAAGAACAATAGAAAACAGCCAAGACTCAGCATAGGCTCGTCGTTCGACAGTCGATACACCGCAGACGGTCCAACAACAAGAACGACGAACAAAAACAGTGTAAAATGCAGACGGCGCACAAAATGGTCATACACATGGGCACAGTGCAGACAACAACAAGCGCGTTATTGTAGGCGGTGTTACCGCCACAGGTTTTTCAAAAAACGCGATTTCGCGTTCGCGGTTCCTATAGATCGTCGAATGCGGACGTGCAGGTGCTTACGATTTTGGAAGTTCATAATAACATTTAAATCGTTTAATAATCAAATGAAAAACTTCGTTTCCCACGATTTAAGCTTGCAGGCTGCAGCTCTGAGAAATTAAGGCTTTTAGCTGCAATTATTATAAATAATTAGTCAGCATAATGATTTTATGTTTTGTGTATGGCAACTACTTGTGATTGGTCTTGTTAAGTGTTTTGTAATTTTTAATGAACAGCGTTTTATTAAATCGAAAATGTACATGTTCACGTTGGTAATACAGCAGATTTATAGTGCTCAGGTTTGATAAAAAAAAAGAAAAAAACGTCATTGGAAGAATTGTGATTAGAATAAAAAAAAGTTGGGAGAGCTGATGTCGGAGTGGACTACAGATTATAAGAATATAGCTATGAGACATGTGCAATTGTGCACATGACTACACGAGTGACATGACTATGCAATAATGCACATTCTAATCATTCTATTACTTTTAACTTTTTTAACCTATTCATTAAGTTTACCTTTACGAAAGTTGTAGTTATTCGTCACTTAATCATCAATTTCATAGTCCATAGCATATAAAAAGTTCGATTACACTTGACTACTCTATAGGTCAGTAGGCTAATTCGTGAGTTACGGTCATTAACCACTATAATAGTTCTAAAGTTCTCAAGTCACCAGCAGGCAGCAATTGTTATTAGAGTACAATTAATTTTGCCAAACCATGACGATTTCACTCTCCAGTGTTTAAATTTGTCTGCTATTTGCGACGGGAGTAAAAGGCCAACTTAATTTAATATTCGCCTGGTGTAATCGATCCTTCGGTCCTTAGCATTTAGCAGAGTATTGTACGGCAGGGTTGGTAATGTCTCAAAGTATTATCGTTTTGGGTTCCTTTTTCCTCTCTTAGACCTTAGTTCATACCCATTCAACCCCATTTATGTATTATCGGGTAGCTAATGTGTTAAGTTTAGTAATTAGTGTACAACCATATAATAAAGCAACAAAACAATTTCCACCAACGCCGACACGAATGTGACAACATTGCGATGCTGTGGAAGTGTTGTTGGGCAATATTAGAGGTTTAAGTCCTAAGTCAAAACACTCAACACTCCAAAGCACGGATTCAGACTAAGTATCTATATTAATATGTGTATTAAGTATACTATTATGTATTGTATTATACAGTACGAGACGACGTGTACATCATCACAAAATACAACATTTATTATGTTATTAAAATGCTACATTGCTACAATATCATATTTTGTCCTGGTGTATAAACTAAGACTATGGCTGTATTCAATGACTCGTCATAATTCATAGTAAAGGCTAAAGACCGTGAACCGTGGCCGTGTTAACAAAAAATGATACGTAGAAAAGAGATAAACCTCTATATTATTAGTTGCCCTTTTCGGTAGTAAAAAATGCAATGTAGGTTGGTACAAAGATCCATGTTATCGCAATATCGTGTTCCAAGAGAACTGACCCCTTAATCCTTATCCCTTTTTAAAATGGACATCACAGAATATAATATTATGATAAATAAACAACTGATAATTTGAAATTAAATGATTACTAGAACTGGAAAATTACATTTTTCAAATGTTCACTTTTAACTTCTAATTCGTTTGCACGTAGTCATAGAACAGTAGTGTTTTATTTTTTTCCTTAATTTAAATATAAGTATCAACCGAATTTACACATTTTGTATTTAATAATTTGCCACAAGATAGCTGAACAATTACTTATTGATGACAAAAGTCCAAAATTGGTTTCTTTTTCATAGTATTAATTTAAATAACTTATTGTCTTACCTTTAAATGGTTGATTATGGATTTATGATCCAAATCTAACAGGTGATTTCAATTATTTTTCTAAGATACCTACCTAATTTTATAAAAATAATTTTAACCCATAAAAATTGATTGTAATTAATAGGTGTAAGCAAGTTTATCTGTAGATTTCATTTGTTAATTTATTGAAAATACCTACATTTTCAAATTTTTAAATCACAATATTCATTAATATTTTACAGTACTTGCCTGCTTAATTTGTAATTTCTATTATTAGTTTTACTCACTCATTATTTCAGTTTATTTAATTTTTATGACTTAAAATAACTCAAAATATTAAAAATGTGTTGAAAGATCCTCTGAATGTAAGTGTTGATTAATTCAATTTTTTTGTTACAATGTGTGACATTCAAGTGTGTGCTGTACTCCGTAGTACAACTTCATTAATTGATTAGATTACAATAGCACTTATGTCTTAATTCAATTATTGTGTTTATGTTTATTAACATAGTTTCTGTGTATAAATTAACTAATGTCTCAACTCTCAATAATAAAACAATAAAAATGTATTATGAAAATATATTACAAAAATTCCAGTTTTTAACATAAAAATATTATAGATATCATAATGATATTGGATTAAACTTGATAATTCTAACGGCTTATGACCCCATATAATTTGGTTTTCGCTTTTCCACAAATGCCAAGAGTCCTTCCATTCTATCTTTTGTTGGAATTATCTGGCTATAACAAAATTCTTCAATTGCGCAACCGTTATTTATGTCCACTTGTTGTCCATGACTGATCGCTTTTTTAGCCATTTTTACCGCAATCGGCCCATTAGGTATAATCTCTCTAGCAATTTGTAATGCACACTTATAAGCACCTGTACCGTCTTCATTTTGTTCACTTACTCTGTTTACAGCTCCATATTGTAAAGCCTGCTCTGCTTTAAAAAGTCTAGCAGTATAAACCAATTCTTTGGCTAGTGAGCCACCAACTGCACGTGCTAAACGTTGAGTTCCACCAGCACCTGGTATTATGCCAAGTCTAGTTTCTACTAATCCGAAAATGGAATTGGAAGCACAAACAATAAAATCACAACTTAGAGCCAATTCAAAACCTCCACCTAATGCAGCACCATCAACGGCTGCAATAACAGGAACAGGTACATTTTCTATAACATTGGCTAAATTACGTATTTCTGATACACGCCTTCCAACATCAGAAGGTGGTAATTTTAAACGTTCTTTTAAATCGGCTCCTGCACAAAATATTCCCTTGACAAGACTTCGAAAAATAACTGCTTTTGTATCGTTGTCATTGTACAATTGTTTAAAAGTATTTAGTAATTGATCAATCATATGCTTATTAATTGCATTTTTTGACCCTGGTCTATTGAGACTTATAACTACAATACCTTTATCATCATGCGTTAGTCTTTCAACATTGACCAATTCTTGAGTATGTTCTTGAGTTGGTTTTGTAGATAAATGTTTAAATATAAAACTTTTATTGTTTAATTTTGACAACCTATTTATAATAAACATTGTAAAATATTAAAATGGTTGTATTATATTATTATTTAATACTTGTATAAAACACATAAACTTATTTAAAAATGTGTAGTGATTTAATTAGTTTTTTTACACATACTTATTATGCTGTTCATTAAATCATATTATTTGTTTCTGTGATAAGATAAAATATATTTATCCAATAAGTTTATCTATTAGTTCAAATGTCTTGAAAGTTTTGGTTGCTATAACAACAATTTTCAAAACAACTAAAATGTATAATATTTGATGCATAAATAACAGATAAGAGCTAGTTATGAATGTTTAATTTAAATTACCATTGTAACAAAATTGTTTTAAATAATTTCTTAATAAATATATTTAGTAATAAGTACCTACTATAAATAAAATCAATTAAATTATTTTTAACTTTGCATATGAAAATCATTACTTCATGTCAAAAGAAGTGTTTCCATTATGGTTGGAAGATTTATCGGAGTGAGTTGAAAATCTAGGTGATCATTTAAAAATTTTGATAATGATTCACCCAGATTTTTAAATTATTATAATATAGTAATATATTGTCGATCAGAAAAAAAATGCAAAAATAATTTTATTAAATAAAAAATGATGATTTTGCAGGAGAATTGGCAGTTCTCGAAATATATCAACACGTTCCCGAAGAAATCGAAGAATATCAAATGCAAAAAGTGCACGTTTTAGACCAATTGAACCTGCGGTGCTTATGGATATATCACCAACATTATCTCTATCTCCAACAATACATAACAGAACAAATGATTTATTTGATTTGCTTGATGAAGGTATAGATGCACAAACACAGCGTAGGGAAAATTCAGCTCGATATGGTCGAAGAGCTATATCTAATGTTAAAAATATATCTAATCAAACTTTACATAATGTTCCTGATGAAATAATATTACCTAAAAAACCTACTAACCAAGTTAATGAAGATTTTCTCGAACAGTCTTGGACATCTTTAAACTTTTTTAATCGCAAACAAAAAGGGAGACTAACTAGCAAACGACAAGGTTAATTTGTATATGTATTATATTTATTATTTACTGCACTAATATTATTATAATAATATGACAATTTTCTCGTAGTATTATTAATTATTATTAGTACAATTTAAATTAGATAAGTTATTTTAGTATCTATGATGTTTGTTTTTATAATCAATTATTGACTTTTACATACTTGCAGATCGTAAAACACCAATGAGTTTTGGTGTGGAATCCGAATTTGGCACACACATTTCAAAAAATGAATCTCAATCACATACGCCTTTTGTAATACCTGAACTACCATCTGGATCAACATTAAAATTGGATATAACCAGCACTTGGGGTGATCAACATTATGTTGGTCTCAATGGCTTGGAAATTTTTAACAATGAAGGCCAATTAGTAAATATTATGAAAGTATGTGAAACCATAAATTATAAAATGTAAAAGATTGCTCACAATTTTTTTAAATTATTTGTTCAGATTTGGGCAGATCCATCAGACATAAATGTTTTACCAGAATATACATCAGATCCTCGAGTTGTACACAATTTGATAGATGGGATTAATCGAACAAGAGATGATATGCATTTATGGTTAACTCCATTTACTCCAGGGGCTCATCATTTTATCTATTTAGAATTTGATGATGTACATACAGTAGCTATGATCAGAATATGGGTAAGTCAATTATAAATAAATACAATTTATTAAGTTACCTATATTTTAATTATTTATTATGGATGATCCCAATAGAACTACAACAAATCAAGAATCCATTCTTATAGAGGTGCCAAAGACTTGAAAATGTATCTTAACTCAGAGTTAATATTTCAAGGAGAAATTGCTAGAGCGTCTGGTGGAATTGTTGGATGTACAGATGCTTTTGGTGATGTAAGTAATTTTAAATAAATCTTATAAGTTATGGCTGATAAATACAAATTATTTCATTCAACAATGTTTGACCAGGCAGTCTCAAAGAAATATTAATCCCAAGCAAAACTAAATAATTCCATTTTTTTTTTAAATTACTTAATTTTATCTGACTTCATAGTATGTTTTATTTAAAATGTTTATTGTATACTACTATAAGATACATTCTGTTCTATAATTATATTAAATAACAAATACATAATAATATTATTTTAACTAAAAATTGCTATTTATACTGCTTTTAGACAATACTATATACATTAGATGAAGATATATTAGAAAATATTGCACACAACGATACTTCATATTCAATATTATTAGAAGCCAACAATACAGTTGATTCAATTTCAGTTGAACCACAACAACGTCCCCTTACAGCTGATACTGGAGTACAAAAAACTTTAAAAAAATAATTTAAAATGTATTCAATATAAACTTGCTAATATATTAAAACTGTTATAGATTATCAGACCTTTAACATGTGCACAACCAATTATCACAAATATGTCTTCTGATTCATCCGAATCTAACTCAAAAACTCAATATCAAATAACTGGATCACTATTATGCCAACAATCATTGACTATTACTATTATTTCGACTTGGAATTCATTAGATAATTCAGAGGAAATGAATACCGTTAATGTTGTTGGATTGTTGGGATTAGAAGTATTAGGGGAGACTGGTGATGTAGTTAAAATAGACAGTTTAAAATGTAATATTGATACGTCATCTGATGTAGACAAGTAAGATAATTCAAATATATTTTACTAACAATGTAATTAATTCTGATATTATGCATAATACCATGAATTTGTATACATTTTTATTTAACAATATATTTATTTATTATACGTAGAAAATTTAAGTTTCATTTTTTTAATAATAATTATTATAAATGTAAAATCATTATTCATAATATCAGATCCGATAGTAATATATTTATAATAATATCTATGTATTATGATACATTGAATGCATTTAAAATAATGTTATAGATTATTAGAATGCCATGTTACCGATAAAGATTGTGATATGTGGACTTGTGAGTTACCAGATGAACCTTTAACTTTGACATTCAACTTTTTAGCACCAGTCCATTTGTCAGCATTAGTTATATGGAACTATAATGGATCAATAGAAAGTTTAGACTGTGGAGTATGTTTTATTCATTATTTTATAGTATACAGAAAATAATATTTTATTAACAGGTAAAATTTATAAAACTCAATATTGATGATCGAGAATTGGTTGAAAGAGGTATAGTTCAAGTAAGGCGTGGTCCTGGACATTGCCGATATAATTTTGGTCAAAAAATTCCTTTACTTCCAAAGCATTGTCCAGCTCGATCTAAAGAATTAGCAACAGTAAATCCAAAGCAACTTATAAGTATGCATGTTTTTACTTTAAATTGAATTATACTTTATAAACATAATAAACAAATATGTAGGCAATTGTTACTTTATGACATTCACTCACACAATACTATGTTCTAACTAAAGTGATTACCTATAATGTTAATTTGTTTACTGTCAGTATTAGTATTATAAACTTTCTATATAAAATATAATGTGAAATATTTAGAAAAATAATTATTATTCTGTTTTATTAGGAATAAATAATCCTGATTATGAGCATGTAACAATCCCAGTTGGTTTTGTTTACCAAATTGCTTTATTATCAACTTGGGGTGATCAATATTATATTGGTTTAAATGGTATCCAGTTATTTGATAAATTGGGACAAATTATCCATTTGGAGCCTAAAAGTAACACAATTTAATTCAAATAAGATGTTCATCATTTTATGTAAAATATTTTATATTATAAGGTATTAGTTGTTGGCCAAGCAGTGTAAATATTCTACAAAGTAATAAAAATGATATTCGTACACCTGAAAATCTTGTAGATGGGATCAATGATACTATGGATGGTGCTCATATGTGGTTGGCTCCAATTTTACCATCAGAGGTTAATTTTTGTTAACTATTATATATTTGTAATTTTTAAAGTAATATCTAATTAATATTTTTGTATAGGTCACCAAAATTTATATTGTTTTTGATGAACCTACCTATGTCTCAATGTTCAAAATTTGGAATTATGCTAAAACTCCTTTAAGAGGAGTAAAAGAATTTGCAGTAAGACAATAATATATTTCCTAATTATTTTTAAACCACTCATATTTGTTATTTGTGTTCTTAAAGATTTTAGTAGATGATCTGCTGGTTTATAATGGGATTTTAGAATGTTTCAAAACCACATCAACCTTAAATCAGTATTCCACTGTGATATTTGATACTTCTAAGGAACAAAATGAAGCTATTTTTGAATTGTCAACGTAAGTATTTATATGTATTGGTAATATATAAATATAAAAAGTATTCTATTTTTTATACAAAAATCACAATTTCTCCATCATTTAAAATTTATACATGTACAATATATTGCTTGTATAAAATATTCCACTGTCTAAAAAAAAAAACTATTAAATTCTTAAAATTGTTCATTAGTGAAAATTAAATAATTTCAAACATAAACATAAGCCATTAAATACTATGAGGCAAAAATGCATTAACTAGTTTTATGTCCAAAGTGTCCAAAGTAACATTTTATAAATCGAAGCAACTGTAGAATACTCAAGTAGTACAAGGTTTACGGAGCAGTTTAAAAATAGTAAAGAAAACCATAAATCAAATAAAAATATTTATTTAAAAAATGTTCTAAAAATTACTTCATTACTTACAATTAACAATAAGTACCTTTATACAATTATTATGTTTAAAATCAAAAAAAAAATGTTTTTGTGTTTTAGTGCAAATGAATTGAATAGTTTGAATATTGAAGGTATGTTATTAGATAATGTTGTGGACCAGTCACAAAGACCATTTACATCAATGTTACCATCTTCAAGATTAATAAATTAAGAGTTCTTAAATAATCTAGATTTAAAAAAATGCTTATTGTAGTTATGTTAATGTCCAACTGTTATTGGATGTATGATATTGTATAGTTGTGTAATTACCTTTAAATACTTTTATAATTGCATGTAAATGTTAGACATATAATTTATTAAAATAGGTTAAAATGTATTATATTTTGTTTTTATTTCATTATTCAAATCCTTGGTCAATCTAAAATTTTAAATAAACAATCAGTTGGACTACATATAAAAGAATACACCCAATTTTCTTTGGTAATAAGTTCTTTTCCATATTTTGAACTTCAAATAAATTTGTTGTTTCTCAAACGTTTGCGATATTTTTTTGTTTTGTAACTATAAGTGATGATAACTCATAAAAACTAAGAATTATATGCATATAATATACATTAAAAGAAAATGGATGAGTGTGTGATGTAATTTCAATATGAGTCACCACTATGAAATTTTAAGTCTCAGTGACATTAATTGTACGACATAAGTTGTGTGATACCATTGATTTTTCATAAATACGTATAATATTCATTGATGTGAGGTATGATTTCAATTGAGCGTCCATTTTATGTGGCATGTCAATGCTAACACTGATTTGTGATTACAATGTCAACATTTTCGATCAGTCTGTATCTGTAACCCGAATTATCGTTCAAATTTTTTAAATTTTGAAGATTAGTTTATCCTCATACTATCGTGATGTGGCCAACGTCGACTGACATCAACGCCCTAAGACCACTTAGTACTAGTTGAAGGTTGTTCGGAAAGAATTCAGTTGAATATGAGGGACGGCGCGTACGCAGTCCCAGCTACCAAAAATTATGCGTCCGAGGTATCCACATTAGGGATACTCGCAGGGGTCAACCAACTCTATGTGCAATGAGCAGGCCTCACCCTGGAGGAACCGCCTATTTGATCACGGTTGACCTCCACGCCAGGTAAGTATGCTTGTAAACGCTTTTCAGGGCCTCTATATGCTGTCAGACGTCCGCGCCGGCACAGTACCCCGCTGTCCGTCGTCACTGTTACGGTGGGTGTCGGGTGCTGTATCTCATGCTCTGGGACCTTATGCGTCACGTTACCTGTACCAGCACATTTTGTTTTGGAAGTCCAGCTGAATACGAAGCATTTCGAGCATAACGCGACTTACAAAAACCGTCTGTCGTCCGACGAACATTGACTGGTACCGATTTAACGCCATCTACCGGCGGTACCGTTGCCGCGGCGGAACCGTAGTTCGCTGACCGAACGGTGGGCAATACGGAGCGAAAACTCGACCCGTGGTACGGCACAAATGCTTGACGGTACATTTTCGGACGGTGTCTCAAATTCTATGATGTAATGTCGAATTCATGCCTCCCCTGTACAGTTCCGTCTGTGTTTACCAGTCAGCGTTTTCCGTAAGCGCATCGGTCGCTTCACCGCTAGAGCGCGTACGTAGTATATATTTTGTACGCGTAACGTAAGATAGCCATTTTTTGTATTTTAATATCATATTATTATTATTATACGCATTTGTGTCATGGATGACTTTCAGCATTAATTGAAGCAATGTCAGTTGTCCGATTAATTATGATTTGTGAGACGGAAATAAAACTACAATTCGAACAGACAACATGACACTTGTTGCGAAATCATTGGTGCACGAGTACATTGTTTTTTGTTTTGTATTACCATATTATATTGCTTATACATATACATTAATAAATTCAAATGCATTTTAAATGACTAAATTAAAATCTGTGAATATCATTGTACGAGGTTTTTAATGTAATTGATTCTTTTGTATCACAGGTTGTCACAATAATTACTCAAATCTAAAATAATAATGTTATTATAGTAAAACCTCAACTTGCGACACTGAATGAAACTTTAGAAGAATTTTGTTTATTTATCTAAAAGACAATTTACAATCAGTAAACAATATTACAATAAGCAAATATGAAAGTTTATAATGGTTAAAATAACATGGACAGCATTGCAATCACCCGTTGACAACACATATTGAAAATAAAATATTATGTTTATAGATCTCTACACGACTACATCGATATTAATACAGAACAATATATTACGCTTCATCTGTGGGTGTTGAGTTTTTTTGAAGAATGATAGTGGACATATGGGAAACGAGTAGACAGCTATGAGTATTTAAATTTGAAAAACATAAACAATTTAAAAATGTAAAATACATAAATTGATTAGGTATCACAACAACAACAAATATTATTTCTTAATAATTTTTTTTTAATAATTTATTTGTAATCACTTGTGACACTGTAAACATGCTAAAAGGCTAATAAGACTAATTGTCCATATTCTATTCACATAAATGCTTCTTTCTTATTCCTATACAAAATATTTCATAAATCATATGACATTTAAATTTTAAATACAATTAAAAGTTTTAAAAGATTAATTGATGATATCAATAACATATTATAATTTTTAATAACTGGCAAAAGTTTCGATTTTTTTAAAATACCCTTTTTACATAATTTTATGTGAAAACTACATTTTTTGCAGGAAATATTTTTAAAAATTATACTAAATATACATTTTTTTTAAATTTCCATATAAATAATCAATTAATATATTTTCAATTTTGGAATTAACTATGTTTAGTGACTATGTTTGTACATCTTACTGTATAATTTGTTAATATAATTATATATACTTATAAATTATAATATAAAACCATCTGTATTAGGTTTGTGTAGTTATATCCACGGGTTTTAGCAGGCGCAGATCCAGCCTACATTAACGGGAGGGGTGGATTATAAATATCTAAATATATTTACTATTTACCTATTTTAAATACGAGTACATATATATTATAAATACGCAATAATTGCTTATTAATTATAAAGAATATTTTTTTTCTTAAACTGAATTGAATGCATTTATTGAATTATTTACTCTCAATCAGTCATAATATTGTTATCAACAATTTATAAATGTGTGTTATTAAAATAAAATACGACGATTTATGAGTTTGTGACTGAATAATATAACAATACATTTACATAGGATAACACAAAATATTAAATTTAAATATTACGGTCAACGGGGGGGGGAGGGGAGTCGCCCCTACTGCCCCCGACTGGACGCCTGGGTTTTAGTGTATAAGTGTCTAGCGTACTTCAGTCTATAAATGGTGACGTTTAAAGTTACTTAATGTTGACCGCAGAAAGGAATACGTTTACAGGTATAAAGCATTACTTAAATGCCTTAACCACACGACATAGCACACATTAATTATGTTTAGCAGTATTAAGTAGGTTAATAATTGCATGTATCTAGTAACCTATAATAATACGATGAATCGACATAATATCAAACTTATAGGTAATAGCCAATAGGTGAGATATTTTCGTAGGTTTTTTATGAAGTTTAAATCAAGTCATAAGCGTATTGAATATTACAATTTGAAAATTAGCTTTAGATTCCATACACATCATGTTGTAGAGCATACAATATGGATGAATTAAGTATTAACTATTCATTATGTATATTTTGATTCAATTACATATACAAAATGAGTCGATTTTAGGTGTGGTTTCTACACTGCTATCTCATATATTAAATACCTGATATTGTAAGTATTCAAATATCACATTGTTTTGTCTAATATTCTTGACATGAGATTTGCGGGTAATTTAAGAAGGTGCCTATTATTTTTACGCTCATTATTTAGTCACGTATAACACCATGTTCAACTTACCTTGAAGTGTATTAGAACTATGTGTTATTGTGTTGTGTTTTTCATGGTACCTGTTTTACATGTTATAGGTATTGTTGTTATAGAAAATATTTTCTGTATGTTTCTGTTTGTACTTAATACTTAGGCTCTTAATAACTCAAGTCTAAGAGTGCCTAACAATGATATTCTAAAGGTCAAATGTAATTTTTACGTTTCGTAAACATCAATAATGGGTTGTACTCGCAATATTTTCAAATAATTTGTTGTCGTTGAAAAATGTTTTTGTTTATATTTATTGTCAACACACGCATCATTAACCACTTCACGTGTAGGACAGCAGTTGTTCCACACAGCTCATACACAAGTATACAACGGTATCGCCAAAAGTTCACCAGAGCAGTACTTTTTTATATTATGGGTCGGGTAGACCACTTGCTAGCGTTACATATTTTGGCAAGTTTTGAACGTATCCACGTACCAATCTACATTTCAGGAAACTATGCAACGTCTAGTTTTAAATTTAGAGGACGGTGCGCGCGCGCGCCATCGCCGGTCATCTATACTCTCGCTTTTAAACGACAGTGTCCCCGGTTTGATGAATATGCATGCATCGTCTAATTCACCGGCCATTTCTAAACCACTCCTTCTCCTCGTGGACCATTAAACCAGGTGGCATGGACCCGGGCCATGAATCGTAACCGTTTACCGGAATGCGCGTATTTATTATCCTGATAAAATGCCGAGGAGCAACTTTACTACGGTGCCACGATTTACGAGGCACTCGCGGCCACGTCCGGTACTAGGTCGCTACAACGGTACGTGTTTTGCCGGCAGATGGCGGTGTTATCGCATACCGTCTGACTCCGATCGCTGTCGGCCCCGAGTCCGCCATCCGCGGACCGCGACCGGGATGCGAACCGTCTGCGATCGTAGCATTGCCGGCGTCGGAGCGACGGCGACGGACCTCAGACGTTAGAATATTGCGTGGACTGAGTCCCGGTACCGGCGGAGGTACTCGTAGACAGGCGGTTCTGCACCGCTGTGACGGGCTGGCCACGTTACATAATCGGGAACGCAACGGCACTCGGAATACTTACTTGGTGTCGAGGTCAACCGTGATCACCGAGGCGGTTCCTCTAGGACGAGACCGTTCCATTGCACATCGGGACGGTTGACCCCTGCGAGTATTCCAAATAGGAATATCTCGGGCACGTAATTTTTGGTAGCGGGACTGCGTTCGCGCCGTCCCTTATCATCGAATCTTCTTTATGTGGATCATACAACGTGGAAACCTCTTGACTCCAGCAGCCGCTGCTTGACTTCACCGAGTACCTTGAACCGTAGTGTGACAAAATTGACTACTGGCGCGCTTTGAGCCGTTATGTCCTATAATACGTACAAAATATGTTTTTACTTCGCCTAATATTTGTGATAAAATCCGACCGCGTATCGTT